TAAAATAAATAGATTTTTATGTTTTACTGGTTTACCTTTTTCAATTTGAGTGCTCAGTTTATTAGGACTCTGTAACATTCACAGAAGGGACTGAGGGACGAAAAATGGCTCAGGATTTCTTCTATGTGTTTCATTGTGGCTTTTTATCACTGAGCCCATTTATCACTGAGACAGACTGTACTTCATCTTTGCCAGCAGTGAATGCAACCTGTAAAAACATACTTATGACTTATTTCCAGGCACTTCCCAGAGAGAAAAAGCAACATTCTCCTCATCATTTTACTAAATGTTAATTAGTTTAATCCTTCATTATAAGGGAAGGACTGTGAATGGCTGTAATGAATTGGGAGTTGATTAGTCTAGACTTGTAAGTGCTTCTTAAATGTGCCCTATAGGGATAGTGTGTTTTTGACTTCACTACACTCTTAAAAATAAAGGTGCTTCACGATGCCATAGAAGAACCTTTTTGTCTAAATTTTGTTCCATAAAGAACCTTTAACATCTGAAGAACCTTTCTGTTTCACAAAAGGTTTTTGTGGTGAAAAAAGGTTCTTCAGATTACAAAAAGGTAAGAAAGAGATGGTTCTTTAAAGAACCATTGGCTGAATGGTTCTTTGTGGAACCAAAAATGGTTCTTCTATGGCATTGCTGTGAAGAACCTTTTGAAGCACCTTTATTTTTAAGAGTGTAGTGCTGGTATGAGCACATGGACTACAAACAGCTTTGATGGTATTTGTCTTGTTTAACCAATTTTCTGCTTCAAGATGCCAAGATAAGCTCTCTGCAACTAATTCTGCCTAACATCAAAAGTGTCTTGTCCTTCTTAAAAAGACATTTAATTAAATGCTTTGAAGGCTTAACCGGGAACCGTCATGAATATCAGGACCTGAACTTCATGAAAAATAAGGCTTCAGAGAGATGACATCAGTTGGTTAACCATAAATTCCCAAATTGCCTGCTGACTGTTTGCTTACTTGTTTAAAGTTTTTTTTTATTATTATTTTATATATATATATATATATATATATATATATATATATATATATATATATATATATATAATATCACCCACTCTC